AGGACAAAAATCGAGATAACTGGAAAAGAATATCTTTAATTTTTTGTAATTTTGACAATGATCTGAATGGGCGGTATAAAATTATTTTGATTTCAGTAAATATTTATGCAGCAATAATTTAGGATCACGTTTTTAGCAGCTTAAAGGGTTAAAAGGCTTACAATGGAAAGTTGAAAGTTAATTCATCTTACATTGAATGACTAATTATGTAATTATCTAGCTAATTTATTATGTGGTACTAAAATGAAAAAAAAAACATAATTATTAATAACACAATTTTTTAAGAATTTTTTAATATTTTATTGAAAATTAACACTTTCAAGACAATTTTAAACTATGGTTTTACCTGTTTGGAAAACAATAAAAAAGAAAAATATTAATAACAAGTCACTTTTCTCTCTTTCCCTTTTAATTTTTTAATTTTTTGTAATCTTTTCCCCAATTAAGCCCAGTTTCAGTTTTTCATAAAATCCACCTCAAAATGCATGAGACTTACTTAGCTTTTGATTAAATAATAATAAGAACGATAGGAACATTAAAAAATCTTGATATTCAAACTCAGAGCCATAGAAGCCTTGTCATTAATTGTTAAATGATACATTACTCAACAGTGAAATGCTCAAAAGATTTATTTATTTTTTATCCTTAAATTTTTTTGCATGCATGCATTTGAAAGAAATTTAAAAAAAAAAATGATAAAAAATAATTTGTTTATAAAAAATAAAATTGGTAAAAATATTAAATAAATTACATAAAAACTATTAAATAAGTATTGTTAAAAAAAAATAAACTTTATAATTGAATTAAAAAATTAAAATAGAATTTTTTTTAACTATAATGCTTTGTCTTTTTAAATTTTAATTGATCTTATATTAATAATAAATTTCTCAAGTTATTTGAATTACTCAAATGTTAAATGATCTTAAATTTTATAGCCTCATTTCACCCCAAGAGAACCAACCCTGGATTGGAGCTCAAGAGAGAGGCATTCGCCCCGATTAATGAAAAATCAATAGTGATTTAATTCTCAGCAAAAAACAAACTCAACCGCGGCAGATAAAAGAGAATAAAAGTCGGGGCAGATAAAATTACAAGTTCATCAAAGACAATGGGGACGATGCTCGGCGGGCTGCCTATTTGCACTCTTAAGTGCAATTTTCTCAATCGCGATTTGCTGGGCAAAAAGCGCTGGTCAGGCTCAGGAGCAGCGAAAATAAAAAGAAAAACAGCAACGACGGCGCCGCAATTAAAAGGAGTGGCGAGCAAGACAGTAGGTCTGCCTGCACTGCATTGTGCTCGCGACGTTTTTTCCTGTGAAAAATTGAAGTAGCAGCGGCTGGTTATTGTACGAAAGGGCGCAATTATAAGGGCGCCCGCCCACTCCCGACAATGGACCAAGCTGCATGCATGGACGGCTGCTCCATATAGATCAATAACACACCAACCTTGCAAACTTTCTCCCGAGCTAAAAGAAAAAAAAATCGAAAATCGAGGCGAATTTAGATAAAATTATTTTCCTGGTATCAATAAGTTTCAAACTAACTTAAGGTTTAAGTTTTCAAAAAAGTATTATTTTTTTATCAGAGGAGATAATTATCTGCCGTTCTTGTGCAATCAATTTTCTCGTTTTGCCTAATTAAAAGTTATCCCTGGCTGGAAAGCGGCCTAATGAAGAGATGCCCTTATCTAGTCCGGGCGCTAATCTCGGAATCTAATTGCTAAGCCGGCAGCAGAGCCCCGGCGCCAAGTACGTGCTCCGGCTTTCCACCCTTGAGCCCGGCGACCGTGAACTCCGACCCAGGGTGGTCAAAGGCTCTAATCAAGGGTCAAACAGACCTACCTTGCAGATGTCAGTGATCGGTTCGGCGGAAAATCAGGCTGCTCAATGAATAATCAGTGCAGACGGGTCGCGGGCTGAGTCCTGGGCCAAGCAGGTTTTTCATCACTTGGCCCGGAGCGCTCGCCAGTGAACATTGTGCTGCCACCTGTTAAGGCTCGCCAGCTCGTAGTAGTTTCTCCTTTCGCCGACAGGACGCGGTTTCGACTTTTTTTACATTCAAACTTTACACCATTTTCTTCAAATTATACCCTTTTGATTAAATTGGCTCTGGTTCATTGTAATTTATCTTATGCCACTTAATTTTAGGAAGGATTTCAATTCTTATAGGGAGACCCGCATTGCTCATAATTTCAGTTGTCCTTAATGTTCAAAAACTCATTTGTCCTAAAAATTTTCATCCTAAAATTGTTTTTAATTTCTCCTAAATGCATTTGTCAGAAAATTTATTTGTCCTCAATCTTGTAAGATGGCACCTGGATGCAAACTGCAACTATTGGCGCTGCACGTGACTTATTGTCAATAAACAAGCCCACACACTATTTTCGGTCTTCCTTTTAATATAAGATTTCAATGTAGCTGGATTAATAAAGAGCGTTGAAAGTAATCAACTTTTAATTTATTTCTCATATTTAGCAAAAATGTTTTGAAGTAGAAAATGAAAGTTTTTTAATGTTTAAAAATCTAAAAAAAAAATAATAAAAATAACACATTTTATTCCTTTATTTCAATCACACATAGAAGTTGTTTGAAAATAATTACATTTTTTGTTAATTGATAAAAAGAGCTATTCAATAATATATTTTCATTGGTTTAGCCAACAAATGATTAGTCAGAAAGATAAAATAAAAATTGTGAAGAGAAACAATAATTTTAAATCCCAAGGATTTTAATTTTATTCAAGTTTATTGATTCTAAATTTTTTTCATTTTTATGAATCAGATATTTATTGGCATTTTCTCCCTGTTAACCTGCTGTTAACGAACAATCCAATTTATATCTCCTTTGCCTTTCTTTGCAGAGCATTGATTGAATTTTCCCAGCAATAAACCCTTTTAAGATTGTTCAATTTTATTTTTAGGACACTTGGAATTTAGGACAAATGATTTGAAAAATTTAGGACAATTTCTTTTAGGACCTTTGATTTTAGGACAAATGACGAATTCAGTTTTAGGACAAATAACGGCGACTCTTCTTATATTATCAATTTTAAAATTTTGCCTAACTATCAATCCAGGGGATATATGACTACATAATTTCCAAGGTATTGAAATTATTTGTTGCTGTTACATCTATTTAATGAAAAATGAAAATATGTAGCAATAGAGTAGAAAAAAGTAATTAATTACAATTAAATTATTTATTATATTTTAATAAATTTCATTAAATTTTATTAAATTATGTAAAATATTTTTAAAGCATATTTAAAATTCATTTTTTAATGAAAATAAATCAATATTATTTAATAAAACGGTGATAAAATAAAATTAAAAAAGGGTTTAACAAATAAAAAGCGTTTGTTTTTAGTTGAATTTCCATCGAATGTTGTTGTATTTTCAGGTGATATGTGGACAATCGTTCACATACAAATAAAAATTGCATACATGTCTTTGTTATGCATTACTTTTCTTCAATGAAACCAAAAAATACGGCACTTCATGTACAAAAATGAAATACAAAAAGGGTGATTCGAAGTAAAATAAAAAAAAAAAATGCGTGTGTAAAAAGAGGCTCGCTTGCCCTCGTAGTAAAAAAGTGTCTTGGGCGCCTCGCGCTGCCTATGATGAAAAATTAGCATTAAAATGTGGCGGCGGCGACGCGTCGACGGAACGACACATTAATTTTCGCGTCGCTCGCCGCGCGTCCTCCTCTTCCTTACTCTCTACAGTACAATTCAAAGAGGTAGATAATGGCGCGTTTGTTTATTTACAAGTCTGTTTTAGGAACCATGGTAACATTTCTAATTCGCACCCGCCTTCAGATCCCGTCATCGACTTGCATTAATACTTTTCCTTCCTCCAGTGTTACTAATCCTAGTTAATTACCAACTAGTGTGTGTGAGCCAAGCGGAAGCGGCCATTTTTCTCAAAATTTCCGCCAAATAATTAATTAAATTTCCAAGTGGCAGCTTCCGCTTGATTGAACCACCGATCAAACTCGATTTTAACCCCTGCGTTACCAACACTAATCCACTCCAAACCTTCTGCTTAAGATACTCTTCTCTACGGCGATTATCATTCCATTAATTGTAATTAATAAAAAAGTTCAATTTGGCCACCTTACAGTTTATAATTATAATAATAATAATAGCCGGGCGGACGCCGTTTCCGCCTACGAGAATACACGTTACATATTTTGGACCCACTAAATATCCTCACTTAAAATTTGCAAGATAAAATAACAACCAGCACTATACGTTTTCGTCACCAAACACCGAATCCTTGTATTTTCCGTTAAAAATTGAGACCATCTAACGCCACGCTTGACTCAACGTTACTTTAATTTCATTTTTTTTTTATCCTTTTATTTAAATCCCAAAAATTGGCAGTCTTTCAAAAAAATTAACAACAAGCTCGTTGGTACATTTCATACTGGGGGCTGCTAGATTTTCTCTGCAAGACTGTCAAGCAAAAAATTTAACCGAACAAAAATTCCAATGCTGATTGCGTAAAATTGGGGGTAGTGGTTGTTTTTAACTATACAAATTTAATTAAATAAAATAATAAAGGAACGTTCACCGTTGTAGTTCTCACTTTGCAGCAAAGTGTTGTTGTTCACATTGGAGGATTGAAGATTGTATAGTTTGAGCCAGCGGCGGTACCGCTGCGTTTTTTTCATGAGGTAGACTGTGTGTCACTAGCAATAATCTATTTAAAAAAAAAAAAAACATGATGATTCTACTCAAAGGTACTGCGCGTGTGTCCATTTAAATAATTTTAATCATTATTAGATTAAATTCCCTGCGTACTGGCCCGAGGCGGCTGCGACGCGCCAGGGTCCGTCCTGCGTCCCAGGGTGGGCCCTGGCGAGTGGCGCCGTCCATAGTACAATAATATATGACGCATACTGCTCTTAAAAAAAGACAGTTCGTTAAGTCCACACTCTCAACTACTCTAGCAGACGAAAAACGTGATTGATAATTAATTTATAGAAATGAATGATATTTTGTTTTTTTCTTTTCAACTTGAATGAGTGAATGGTTTGGTTAATATTACATATAAAATTTGTCAATTTCGTGGAAAATCGCCGAAAGTGGTTTGTGCGTGAACAATATGGGCGGTATTTTTTTTACTTTGTGTTTGATACCCGTAACTTTTGTACCCTTTTGTGTTACACATCCAGTTATACACCATCCACTAATTGCCTTATTACAACACCTACTAACCAACCAACCATAAGTGTTACAAATCGCTTTTCCTAGGCCTAGCCCGCTTCAAATTTATTGTGTTTTTTGATGTTTCTCTGACTGATGTATTGCAGCTCGCTTCTTGATGTTTCTTCACCCAAATTTTTGTTTTTCTCCAAAAAGTATTAATTATTAGACTCCAAAAGTATTTCTTTATAATATTCTCCGAAAAAGCAAATTATCTCCATGTTATTATTTTTTTTTCTTTCAATTTTGATGCATTCCCACTCTCCTGATTTTGAATTTCGACTCCGATAATTTTGAAAAATTCTCCTCTCCTTTGAATTTTGGGTTTTTATCTTTCGACGGCGTTCGGCGGCCGTGCCCGCCGACCTTTCCGGCAGAGCGCCGGGGCCGCTGCTGCTGCTGCTGACGGGGGACGCTGGTGTGTGTCCCTGGGCCAGGGGCCGCAGAGGACCCCGTGTGGTTTTACGTTGCGAAGCGGACTGTGCCCTCGGTGGGCGCGTTTTGTCTTTCCTTACTCCTTCCCACCGTCGTCGGCACTGACGTCCGGCGACTTGCTGCCGCTCTTCTCGGAGCCCTGCGAGTCGCCCTCACCTTCCTTCTTGACGCGCGTCGGGCAGTCGGCGATCAGGTGGCCGTCGCTCTTGCAGTGGTGGCACCGCTTCGGCTGCGGACCCATTGAGCACTTGGCGGCGATGTGGTTGGCGAACTCGCCGCAGTTGTAGCACCTGCAACCAAAGCAAACGACCGCGTTAGTTTCACGATCCATTGACTTGTAATTTGACAAATTCAAGAACAAAATTCAACCAGTTTTGCTTCTCATTAACATCAATTTTGATATAATTCTAAAAATAAAATTTTAACCAAATCAAATTGACTATAAAACATTTTTATTATTAAATTTCACACTTTCTTGCACGAGCGTTAACATATTATCTATTTATTGTTTTAATATTTATTGATACAAATTTGTATTTTCTGTTCTTAGAGTAAGGTCGTTGCACGCCTTTGGTGTTTTATCAATAAATCAATCAATATTTATAAATGTTTAAAAATTAGATTGTTAAGAAAAATTGTTTAAGAAAAATTTATGTTAAAAATAAATTAAATTTTAATTTAATTTTTTTTTATGGTGGATTGAATTTAAATTCGGCTTTTCCTCGATGGGTTTTTGTGAGTTTTTATTGTTTAAGAAAAACAATATCCTGCTCCTTCTTAAACAATAAAAACTCACAAAAACCCATCGAGGAAAAGCCGAATTTAAATTCAATCCACCATGAATCAACCCTCGATCGTGAACTTCTACTACAAAATTAATTTTTTTAATTTAATTTTTTATTTGCAAATGAAGTTTATTGCTGTACCACAAGGCAATCTATGCAATCTCTGTTTATTGCAAACAAACAAATTAAATAGATTTAAAATTAGATAATCAGGATAAAGACTAAAACATTCAAAAGTTATTTTTATTCAATAATTTACATTTAATATATTGAATTTTTTTATTTGCAGTATTTACATTTTATTATAAACCAAAAAACCTCAGTTAAATTTTAGAATTTTTTTAATCCTTGATTGAAATCAATAGCCTGAAAAAATGAACGAAAGAAAATGTGTTTAAATGTGGGCTTTGAAATCATTATGGACTATATTTATATTATGTTTTTCTAGCTCTCCTTAAAGTTTAAGTGTGAAATTTTTGTTGCTGTTCTATTATAGTTGCACTACTTGGCACCTTATTTATCTCATGTTGGCCTGGGAATAAGGTCAAAACTACAGCCACTCATTCCAGATCAAGAGTGCTTGCGTAAGACAATTTTCAAATTCGATACTCTCGTCCCCGCGCTTGTAAACGATTAGTCAGCAAAGCAAACAGAAAAACAAGCCCGCTCGACGAGAGAGGCAATTTGTATCGTCGCTTTTTACGTGTTGCATCATCGCCTGCCTAATAGGATTTTTCCATTTGCATGTTTGGGACGCGCGCATAAAAAAGCGGCTGCATCGTCGGCACGCCGAGTGTAAACAAAGAAACTTTGAATAAATGAGCGAGAGAAAGAGGCTTTTTATTTGTCCTTTCCGAATTGTATATATTTTTAACCGAATTCCGTCGCACCTGATCGGAATGCGCGCCGAGCGGGGAAATTGTGCAGCGCGCGGAGAAAGCGAGCGAGATGCACCCAAAGCATTGCCCAACTGCAGCCGGAGGAATGCACCGGGGACAAAAACACAGGCACAGAGGTGGGGGCCCAACTGGAATGCAGTCGGGCTATATTTGTGTTTTATAGTGAGTGAGCGTTGTTTGCCGCGCTCGTTGGCTCAACAAGAAGCGCCACTGTTCAATGACGGGTGCAATGACTCCGCCGCTCGTTGCCATTCACGCAGGCTTTAATTAATTAAAAGGCTCCGATTGACTCGCCCGCGTCACAATCAGGGACCAGAAATTGTTGTAATTTGGGACGACAACAAGCTGCCCGCGACGACAACAGAGATTTTAAAGAGAGCGCGATCAACTGGTTGCATAACCACAATGGCGGCAGGCGTTTCGCGAGTGATTTTGCCACTATCGTATTTCAAAATGGTCGAGGAATGGCGCACTCTACCATTATTTTTGAAGAAGGCAACACAATCTTCTTCCAAACCCTTTTTATTGTTTTGAAGTGATTAAAATTGCTAGATAAAATAAAATGAAATGTTTGCAAAATGTGATTTTTCAAAGTTCTCAGTTCATGGAAATGTAGAGATCGGGCTTTCCCTCGTTGCAAAAAATTGTTTTTATTAAAAATCAAACGGCTCGGGCGGGGAAAAGCCCGATCTCTTCATTTCCACGATCATTTCCTCGAGTGTCAACTTCTTCAAACAAATTCTCAGTTCATTTTTTAATATTCTATGATGAGAATTTTATTATTCAATTTCTCCAATTTAAAATTTTTGTATTGACCGAGAAGAATAAATAATAATAATAATAATAATTAGTTCAATTAAAAGTCAATTATTTTTGAAAATATGTTTACGCTTTGTTCTGTCAGCTTTAAAATTTAATATGCCTTGATTGAACTTTTGGTGCATTTTAATTTGGAGGAAAAAACTTTTGATAAATTTAAATATTCTTTCAAAAACTTAAATTTTATCTTCCTAGCAATGATATTTAATGTGCTTCATTATCAATCCTTTCATTTCAACTATGCAAGAATCTATATATAAAAATAAATCATAGTTGATGAACTAATAATTATTGCAACAATTTTTTGTTCACTAATAAAAGTTTATTTTTCAAAATATTTGAAAGAAATGAAGCCCTTGAAACTTGTCAGGAGTTTCACGACTAATTAAAAGTTGAAATGATGAGGGGGAAAGGCAGCATGACAGGCGTTGTATTACTAACTATTCCGAATTCCGCGATGAAACTGGAAGATAAGAATTTTGATGCACAAACCTGATTTTCCTGAAGCGCTTTTTGGAGAGCGGCCTTCTGTGCGAGCCGTGACAATCGCCGCCATCAACGCCAGTCACGTTGGTGGCTTCCAACCCCTTGTCCGACGCCTTGCAGCTGAAAATGACTTCTTCGTCGTCGCCCAAGCTGCGGAAGCCGTTCATCTGTATCACGCTCTGCAACAAGACATAAACATTCGTTAAGGACGCAAAAACACCTCAAAATATAGGGGTGATCACGAATGGGGGAATTTCAAGTGCACAATACGGGTGGAGAAAGAATTGAAACCCGCGTGGCTTCTTCTGCCAATATAATTAAATTTAAAAAGAAGAAGTCAAGCGCATCAGCTGCTCCACTCTCGAGAAATCAAATTAGCTCCGTGTCATAAAGTAGCTTTAATGACAGACGACAAGGACATGAAACTTGATGAATGACTCTACACAGCTACGTCGTTAACCTTTTTACGAACCATAATTTCAGTCAAAATAAATCATAACTTTTAAGCAGCGCTTCATTTTTCAAGACCAAAGGACGAAAAGAAAATTGAAAAAGTGAAATAACGTGGCTTTGATCTATATCAGTTTCCGTCAAGAATATAAAAATAATTTTCCTGGTTATAACATTTTTTTATTATTTAATAATATGCCAGCTGAATATTATATTTTTTGATTATCTTATTATTTTTTGGCCCGATCTGCTTATGCTTTTTTTCCAGCAGCTTCATTTGCAAGCGATCAAGTTTCTTTTAATGGTCGAGGATGAAGCTGTCCATTTGCCGACAGAGCCTCGCGTAATGACGCTTTTTGTTGCCATGTCGGAGTGAAAAATAAACCGCGGTACCCACGCGGCGAAACGATAATAATTAGCAGAGGCAACGTGCAGCCGCCAAGGAGCAGCTGCCGCTTTTTCAGCGTCCATCCAGCACGCGCCACGATCAACAGGTGAAACTCATTCACTCTACTCGCGGCGGCGGCGTCAGCCGATCTGACCTCGAGGTCAGTGTGGGCACCGCGTCTACGGCCGCAGGTAACAAGAGAGATGATTATTCACACTCGTGCTGATATGATTGATTTTCAAACAAAACATCAATGATTCAGACAATTGAGTTAAAATAAAAATAAGAAAAATATCTTTGATGGGAAAAAATTTAAAATGATTATTCCGAGGAGTAAAAATTTGACTTCAATGTGATATTTAGTATAATTTTGATGAAATTAGGTGATATTTATAGGTGGCAAACAGGTGATAATAGTTGAAAAAAGCTTCAAAAGGTTATTTAAACGTGAATATTTCTACAGCAAATTTAATGCGATGAAAAAGTAATTTTTTGATAAGTTTTTCCCCGTGAAAAATTTTAAAATTTTAATAAATGAATTGATTATGATAATGGATATTTTAAGGGGAACTCTAATATTACCAGTTGTTACTCAAATACATAATTGAAGGTTGAAAAGTCTCAAAATAAAATAAATTATTATCTGATTTAAAACAGTTTGTTTTGTTGTTTACCCAAATCGTTGAAAAATATTAAATTACATTAAAATGGGTGATTTTTCATAAGACAGGTAATTAAAAACGTTAATTTTTTCCAAAAATATAACACTTTGTCTTTACGTGTATTATTATTATTGTTTATTTGTCTAAATTGGTACATATCATTGATTACATTGAAAAAATTGCGATGAAAAAATTTGGACAAATCAACAACAAAAATAAAATAATTATAGAAAAATATTTATTTCCATTGCTAATTTATTTTTATTTCATTTCATATCTAACAAATAGGTTGGTGATCGAATATTTTTGCCAAATTTTATTTTCAATTAATGTTTCCGTTACTTTAATTTTTAACTTATGAATGATTCATTTAAAATAGGGAATATTTTGCTTCACCCGAATTCCATGAGGATGGAGGAGGATCGATTTTATATATTTTCATGCTAATGAAATCACTATTCCTCTCACACGGCGGACGCTGGGCTCGCTCGTGGGCACAACACAATCCAATTTTCCATTCCACGTGCAACAATCTGTTTTCCCTCTCGCCCCAAGGAAAAAAAACGAAATCCTGGAGAAACCGGGTAATTGCATTTTCCGCAGGACAACAACCGCGCGCTCGTCTCTCCACGGACCAAATTCAATAACGAGAAAAATAGAATGTATAGCAAGGAGACGAGGAGGAGGAAAACGCGAGAAACAAAAAAGCGAAATACACGCAAAAAGTGAGGAGCGTCGAGAAATCGTGCCGAAGCAGATGCGCCTGCCGCGGAGGCTCGCGCGCGACCTTGAACCTTTTTGGCAATTGAATTTGGGCATGGCCAGGTGCAAATCGCACGCATCCTCCCCCACCCGAGGTCTGCACTTTGCTTCGCAGGTTGCAGGGCACGTGCCAACCAAATTCACTCCAAGTTTCGCGCACCTTTCCGACATAGGTGCAGCGATTCACGGCTCAATTACTCGAGTACCGCGCGAATATTTTTTGGTGGTCGCATCGTCAAATGCTAAAACGCTTAGAGATTAAAGGCTGGTCTTTTTTACGGAAACTCCATTTGAATTGAATTAAATCACTGACATAATATTGAATAAAAAAATTACATTATAAATATTTGCAAACAAATTGTCCACACACGCTGAAGTAAAACTATGTTTTAATAGTGGAACACATTCTATAAAGTTACACCAAGAATTTATTATAAATTAAATTTTTATTCGACTTTATTAATTGCAATTCGTGGTAAAATTATAAAAAAAGATATATTAAAATATATAAAAATACTACAACATTTACATAAATAAATATAAAAGAATAAAATATAATGTATAAAATGTCAAATATAAAAACGTGTTTTAATTCAACAATTCACAACGGAAATCACTATTTAAAAATAAATGTTCTTAATTTTTTTTTCTAGCTATGAATAACATAATCAGATGTATAAATAAAGAAAACTTGATTAACGCATTTTCCCTTGATCAACTTGAAGGGGCAGGACAAAAGGAAAATATTTTGCCCTTTCATTATATTAATAATCGTTCCTGGTTAGGAAACATTTGGTTCTCTTTTTGTTAAGGTTAATAATTATTATTACTTCCATTCTATTTGAAAATGAGAATGATCGCTTTGGTGCCGGTTTGAAAAAAAAAAATTATCTTTGAAACAACGTCAACTACTTGGAAAAGCGGCCGCAGGGTGGAGCTTTGAAAAATCACAAGTTAACTAACAATTCTTGTTCTTCTACAGTCTATTTTTTGTTATGATACACTAATAATTTACATGAAAAAACATCAAAAATTTCTGGGAAATAATTCGGCAGTGCTTTAATAAAAGTGTAATGTCAATTAAATATTGTCACAATTTACTTAAAAAAAAAATTAGCACAAAATTGAAAACTGATCATTGATAAATTTAATTCAATTTCCTTGTATAACCAATTTGCAGATTTCAGAATGGAAAACAAGTTCTCATGCTTATCATCAATTTATTTTACAGTAAAAAGGTTTAAATCATTAAAAAAACCATAAGCTCTTCGCAAAAAAAAAATCAATTTCTAAAACTTCTTAATGATTTAATTGACCAGAAAAATTAAAATTTGAGATAAAAAAAAGAGAAGGAGAGTGGAGAGGCGCGGCTTTAAAACAAGGTACTGCATTTCCTATAAAAAGCATTAGAGAGAAAGTTTTAGCAAAATTCTTGCTGGCGTTTTTGCTGTTTTGCTGTGTCAAAAATTGAATGTAAGATGTGATTTAACAATTTAAAAAAAATTTTATAATAATGTTTCTGTTAAAAATCATTTGATGAAATCATCTCCCCCCTAAAATAATACAAATTTAATATATATTTTTTATATCTGACAATGAATGGAGAAAAGTAAATAAATATAGTTTTATGAACATAATTATTTGTACAGCAATTTCAACAAAGACACTTTGCAACTAAAAAGATCTCCAAAGGAAGACACTTGCTCGCTTTTATTCATACAAATATTGTAAAACGGCGGCGGCTTGTTAATTTTTCATCAATCACGGCTCGAGTGCTCGGCGAGTGACACCTCTGCGGTGCCTGTGTGTGTGCGTGGACGGCGCGACTCGTTTGTTAATAATGAACACATAAAGCCGCGCCGCGCCGACCGTGCGAACGAGAGAAAGAACGCGGCGCACCGCACAGCGAGTGAGGATGCGGGACCGGCGAATTAATTCTGGTGTATTGACCGACCTACCTATGGTCATCTCAACAGGATCAACCAGATTCTTCGCGATCCTTCCCCTCCTTCTTCCTCCTTTCAGCCGCGCTGCTGAATTTGTATGCGTGCGTGCGTGTGTTCTTTTTTTTTATGTACTTCTTATTCCGAATTTCTCATGCATGCTTTTCCCAGCCGAGACCGTTCTCGGTAAGTAGGGCCTTTATTTATTTATCCGCGCGTCTCCTCCTCTGCCGAGTAGACTCGGCCGCCTGCACTAATTTCTCGCTAAAAAAATAAGTGACCAACGCGCCATTCGAGGGGTGCGCGCAAAGCATCCCCGCTTTTGTCGCCGCAACGACCACGTGCGTCGCATTTTTCCCTCTTTTGTATCAACTCTTTTGGCCAGAGGGGTTTTAAATGCCATTCGAGTCGCCGATTGCCCAGACATAATGACGCGAGAAAAGAGAAAGAACCGAAATAAATTTGCGGCCACGTGCACTGGCCATTTAAATTCCAAGCCAGAATTAATAAAAAGAAAAAATTAATTTAATAAAGTATTTTTAAAAATCGAGGTATGAAAGTTTGTAAATTATCAGTGATTATATTTTTTGTCCGTCCTGCAGCCATAATTATGGTGAACAACAAAAAGAATATGTTGCCAATTTGTTAAATTTTTTTTATTGTAGAGTTGTGTCATGTTTGCGTTGTTAAGAGTATTCCAGTTTCGGTTTTAATTTTTCAAAATAAAATTTAACATGGATGCACAAAGTGAGCATGCTCGGAAAGCAAATTAATACGACCAAATTTCAACTTTTAATTGGAAATTTTATTTCTTTTCAAAACAGATTCGGATTTCTGTTTCCCAAAAAATTAATTTATCCATTTAAAAATAAAAAATTAAGACAAACAGCAACACACTGAAGACGACTAAGATCATGATTTTTCTTATTGAATGCTTATCAGCTAAATAAGCAAAACATGATTCAAGATTCAAGTCATATTCAGTGTGTTGCCGTTTGTCTTAATTTTAGAGTTTTAAAATAATTTAAAATTTAAATTAAATTTCCAATTTAAAGTTGAAATTTGGAAATTTTATTTCGTTTTCCTAGCATTAGATTTCTCGCGCAGTCCTGAATCAACGCTAAAATTTCTTTTGAATCGAGGATATTCTACTTAAGTAATCATTGCTTTTTGTGTCCCGGGAGGACTGCCAAAAAGCATATTATTTTAGTATGGAAAATCATAGAATTCATTCATCTGCTTTGTTTATTATTATTATTATTGTATAAGCCTAAGATTTTTATACTTCATAATCGGAGGAAATTTGAGCATCCATGAATGCATTATTATAAAGCTATATCAAAATTGTGTATTGCATTTTCCTAATATTTTTTAAATACTTTCATCATGATTTTATGTTAATTGAAAACTTTTTATATATGAGTTAATTTTCTCATTAATGCATAAATCATTGAGGGGACAGCATGCTAACTTTCCAACCACATAATAGATCATTAAATCAAGCAGTTTCTATAAATTAGGTACCTCAGTAGATAAATATATAATTTATTACGATTAAATTTAACTAAATTGCGCAAAAATTCAAGCATATTGAAATAAAAAAAAAATGGTGAAATATTTTAAATTAATAATAATCTAATTTACACTAAAATGTAAATAAAATTTATAAATATAAATATAAAAATTATAAACTAAAAAATAATTGTATAAAACTAAGAAGAAATTGTACATAAAGTAAGTTTTTTTTTTAATTTTTTTTTTTTTATAAAATTATTTTTAATCATAATGCAGTTTTAAATCTAATACAACAAGGAAGAGATTCTTCAGCTTGCGCGTAATCTGATCGGCGATAGGTGCGAAATATCGGCCGGGCACGTTCACGATTTTCGCTCGCAGCAAAAGCTTTTCTTTTTATCTCGTTCTTTATATTGGCGCGAGCGCGTTTATTCACTCACATTTAATATTCACTCACGGGCACGATCATTTTTATATTAAAGAAAAGAATGAGTAGAAATCCGGCGTCGTCTCTCAACTGCTAATCCACCTCGTATTATTTTAAATCAGGTTTCTTCTTCCACTTTAAAACATGCGTTCTGCCTTGTTCTTCCTCTCCAGAGCGTCGTCGTCTCTTCTCCCCGCGCGCGCACTTCGCTATTTACATAAAAATATGGGAAATTTGAATAGCGGCGGCTGCTGAGAGAAAATCGCGCGCCATTCTCGCCGTGTCATACAATTTGATTTCTATTCACCGCCGGACTAGTTGAGCAGATTATTAAATGCAATTCTGTTCAAATTACGCGCGCTGCACCACCTAATTTCTCTCGTTTGTTGCCCAACCGTGCGTGTTCGTTTCAACTTCATTCGACAGTATGGTTTCTAAGTCATTGAAAATTCAAACGACAGACAATTCAAAGGGCAATTTAATTTTGAAATTACATTTAAAACTTTAAAAAAATTCTTGTTCCGGAAATTTTTGTCTAAAAAAATTGCATTTTCTAAGAGATATTTTGTTCAATTTTTGCTGGTTGATTTTATTGCTCTTATTTTTTTCTTCACAAGTCATAATTTCCCTCGTTTATTGCCAAATCGTGCGTGTTCAAGCCGTCAAGAAATCAATTTAAATTTTATAATATGAATTGAAAACTGTAATATCTAAAAATAAACATTTATTACTCCATAAAAATTCTTATCAATTCTTTCAATTGAAAAAAAAATTATAGGTTTATAGGGATTTTATAATTCTTTGTTCAAAATTTGCCGGTTTTAATCAATGAAGAAAAGGAAAAAACACATTTAAGTAATATTTTTCCGTTGAAAGAAAACTTTTGGAAAATCATCAATTATGAAATTTTATCAATTTCAATATTTTTGGTAAAAATATAATTTAATAATAATTTATATTTTTATATTAACTTAGTTATTCAGATTTAACATGATTAATTGCTAATTTGAGGAAACTGTCCTGCTTACAATTTTTTTTTTTTTCAAATTATTTTCCAGTGAAAGTTTTAAATTTTAATTATGTAACCGATAATGATAAAAACCCATAACTGGACATTCTGTATTTTGGGCCAAGGATAAAAAGGGCATCTCAAGAACAACAACGTCTGGCGCGAAAAGTGCGCGTCAAAACGGCCGGTGTTGCGAAACCACAACAAACTGCGCCGCAGAATTGGCACCACTTTTTCCTCGTTCGATCGGCCAGAGGAGCTACTTTGGCAGCGTTTTTTTTTATCACCACCTCTGCGCCCGCGGTCGGTTTTGCCGAATAATCGCGTGATGTAAATAGACAGATAATGGAAACGTGCCTTGGCGGATCGAGTGCTCGCTCGCGATTATCAAAGCAGCCCGGAAATGCCCACACGCGTTGTCAAGGAAACGACGCGGCATCAGCGCTGCTATATTTTCGCGTCCACCAAAGATGTGAATGAAACCCACGCGCTTCACCACCAGTTTCGCGGGCTCTCCCATCACCTTCGTATATTATTTACTAAATTATTCAACCGCAATATTATTAAATTCAGGCATAGAAGATGCAGTTCTTCAATTATATCATACCATTTTTTTTTTCTCTGTGGAAGTAGAAAAACTAAACTATGAAGATTTTTCTGATTTTTACCAACAATGTAGACATTCAAATTATAATTGAGTATTTTGAAATTTACGAAAAAAAATTAAAGAAATTAGATTTTTACAATATTAAAAAAAGGTTGCAATCAATTAAAGTAAAGTTCTTCTAAATGAATTAGGAACTTTATTTAAAATTAATATTTATTACTTTAAAAAAAACTGTTAAAAATTATTTAATTTTCATTTAAATGCGACTTTCTTTATTTTCTAAAATTATTTTTCCCAAGCCAGAGCTGCTTTTCTTGAACTTTTGTCACTGAAATTATATATATAAAAAAAAATACCCTACAAATAAACTCCTCTTCCCAGAAAACGCTGGTTTAGATATCAACACGGACATTTCCACCGGAAAAATGAACGCTAGAAACTTCTGTCCGATTGTGATTATCTGAGGGAATTCGGTGTCGTGACAAGCCCCGGCGTTATCCGTCCCCTCGATCGAAACCGCAGCCGGGGGACAAAAAAAAGCGAAAGGTGCACCGCGGCAGATGCACAAAACGCGCCCCACGACTTGACCTAGGCCGGCTGAAAAATATTTATATATAAATTGCGGCTTGCAAACACTGACCTAGGCGAATGCCTTTCACACACCTCGCGCCCGTTCGCTCGCTCGTCACACTCGGTTTGGCAGCCGCGGCGGCCGTTCCCCTACTTCATGACCCCTCTACTCGTTTTTGCAATGTACGAGTGTACATTTTATATGATCCCGCCCTCGGTGTATTGAATTGGCAAGACGTGCCCCCGGCGGGTTAGCACAAAGGCTAGAGCAAAAAAGCGATGGCCGGTCTTGGAAAATTCAATTCAAAAATTTATTGTTTCTGAATAACAAGTTTGTTGAAAAGTTGAAAAATGTTGGATCAAAATTTCTAATTTTATTTTTCAAAAATCAATTCATACGCGAAGGAAATTGAAAAAAAAAACTATGATATTTATATTTGAATCATGTGTGGATATAATAAAATCAAGAGTATATCAAGAATACCAGGATGTGGAAAATGCGAAATTAAAATTCTGAAAAGAACACAAACTTAATCAACTGCGGGGGATGAGGTCTATTTGATTTCAGAAGATTTAGCAAAACCTTTGATCGCGATGCTGCCTGTTTGTCCAGTAATTAAATTTTACCCTCCCAATAATTATTTTCCTATCATTGTTAAATTTTTAACAATTAGAGGAATAAAGCACAAGAAAAAAATAGATTTTTAAATCTTATATTAACAAGAGGGCTTTTTAAAAATAAATAATCATTATATATACAAAATATTGCTACTTTTTGCACTTTTTCAATAAAAAATTATTATATATTTAAACTAATTAAATATTCTAACATTTGCATATAGAACTGCGCATTCCACCATTCTAACAATAGGTTTTTTACTGGTGCATTTTAATTCAACTTTTTGATAACCTTTTAGTTTATTTTTTTTTTCTTTCTTTCTTCACATCGTAAACTTCAGAGAAACAAAAGGCCGCGGCCGATCACGTCACCGCGAGCGGCCGAAATTGATGCCAGAGAACGCATTATTTCCCAACTTCCTCCCCATTCAAAAAGCGTCACGTCTCATCTCCTTGGAAATTTTCCCCATGGCCAGTCTCGAAAAGAACGCGTTGCATTCAAATTGGAATGAAGAAAAACGAATGCACCGCCGCATGCACGGCAGGGAAATTAAAACGCACTAAACATTCGGAGAGGAGAGGATGTTTCTCTATTTTCTTTCTTGCTCTCGAGTGCTCGCCGCCGATTGTGTCCCACAAAAACAAACGCAATTGGATCCGCTCGCTGCAAGGGGGAGCGAAAATGCATCCAGAGTGCAAGAAAAATGCATTCAAAGTACCAGGCCATTGTGCAACGGCGCGCTTTACAACGAGAAATGAAGCAGCGTCGGTTTGTGGGAACGATTTCGGAACAAGAGAACATTTTCGAAAGAAGGAGAAACTCACCTGGTGAACGAACACGTCCTGGCCGCCATCGTCAGGGGTGATGAAGCCCCAGCCCTTGGCCACGTTGAACCACTTGCAGCGGCCACGGCGCTTCTCGCCCTCCGATCCAGCGCTTGATCCTCCTGCAAACAATTAAAAAAAAATTTAAAATTAAATTTATTTTTACGCATAATTAAAAGTAATGTAAATTCTTTTTTAATAATTATTTTCTTTATTTTTATAATTTTGATTTTAGCTGTTTCAGCTGTATTTTTATTGTTTGTCAATTCATTTAAGTTATTAAATTGTTATTTTTTTTATACTTTACAAATCAAAATTTCAATTATTTTTTTTTTCAGAATAAATTAAACTGCAATGTAAACATAATTGAATGATTTCCATTGTTGAGTTAATTTTGCGTTTTATAACCAATAACATAAAATATGCATATATGTCGTAAATTTGCTCTGCCCTTTTGCCCGTTTAATCATTCAAAATCAAAACTATTTTATGTAAAATGCAAGAATAAAAGAGTGAAATAGGGTCGCAGACCGTGACCGAAACTCGTAGAGCCGTTTGTTTTTTGAAAAAAAAAAAAAAAATCTGCAATGAGGAAAAAGACCGATTCATTCATTTCCATATTTTATGGAAGTTCAACTTTAAAAAAAAAAAAAACTTCAGCAAATACTATGGCATATCTGTTTTAAATTTCAGGTAAATTAGCATTGAATTTAGCAAATAAGATATTAAGAAATTGATTGAACTTCACGATTTTTTCCTTCTTTGTATTTGTCTTTTGATAAAAGCGGATTTATGAATATGCTCCAGTTCCTCTGACGGAAAAAACGGAGATCTCGTTTACCACGAAACGTCAAAACGTTTCGTCTCAACAAATTTTCAGCAGCAGCTTGAAAATATTGAACTTTCCTCAAGAGCAAACAGCTTTCCGAGTACTCGACAAATAGCCGCACTTTTCCTCTCTTGAGCGCCTCCTCGCAGACCGACCTTTGAAAATCATCGGCGCACCGACCGATTCCGCGAAGTCGTAAACGGCCCGAATCTTATAATGTATAGGCCGGTCCGTCCGCAAACGTAATTTGCAGTTAAATTTATTATTGTTCGCTTCCCGAAAATCCGTCGTGGCGCGGTGGCGGCGGAGGCGAGGCGGCTCGCATGAATAAATCTGATCATTATGGACAGCGAAAAACAACAAACCGTGGCTGATATAAATGCTCCTGCTCGGAACGGGCACCGCAGATATCATCGGGGACGCGCATACGGCAAAAAAGCAGCAAAGGAGCTGCTGCGCGCGGAGATGAATATTCAATCATGGTCACTCGCTCTGCGACCGAAGAGCGCATACGGAGTTCACGGCGCGCGGAGAAGCGGCGTTTTGCGCTCTCAAAGCGGCGATATTGGGTTTCACGGTCCCCACGCGGGCCCCTCAAAAGGCCCACTGCCGTGCCACAATCACATTCTCCGAAACAAAGAATGCAACTCACTGAAGGAAAACGATCCAAGGCATACGATAAATTGAATACATTTGATTTAATTTGAATTATACGTGCATTTTAAAAAGTGGCAGAAATGAATTTATTTCATGTTTAAAAACTAATTTAATAGGGACAGGAAAAATAAGTGATCTTTTCAATTAACCTATTTGATAAAAATAAATTAAAATTCGTGCTAGTAAATAACAGTTAAAGACTTACTTATAATTTTAAAAGTAAAAATTGACGTTTTGGAAACGCAGAAATCAATTTATTATCATTATCATAAACATCCCTTCTACAAATCAATCAAAATCAGCTTACAACAATTGTAAAAAATCTTCTCTGATTTTCCATATTGCTTTTATTTTGAATTTTGAGTAAATAAAATCATTTGTGTAGTCGTTTTGTAATAAGAAACCATTATCTTACGCATTTGAAATTTAAAATTTCAGAAAAAGAGTTGGTCAAGAATATAAAAGCGCCGAGGTAAACTGCTTCATTTGCAAATTCCTAATTTTCAAAATCTTCCGAAACGCGCATTGACGAGAGGGGAATTTGAATTTTGACAAATTAACATCAATTATAACTTAACACGGCACTATTTGCTGGTTTTGCTTCGTGTGCAAAAACATATGATAAGCATGAAAAGGAAACATATTTCAACGCGCGTAATTAGGCCTGAAAGGAGTCTGGCTTGTCTGAAAATGTGGTGCCCGCGATTGCAAGCTTGATTAACTTATCTTTCTCGTGTGAGAAGGTAAAAATTAGAATGAAAACTATGTGAGTCACCAACATATATTACTGGAGCTTAATTAGTTATTAACTGGGAAACTGAAAAATGACCCAATATTTATTTATTCTGAATAATTATAAATAAAAATTAATTTTAAACGACACTTTGTCTTTTTCTCTTGTGAGATTGAGTATGTCTTTAAAAAAAATCGTCTTTATTGCTACTGTTTCTTCTTCACTTTGGCCGTCATGGAGGCCACATAGATAATTGTACATTTACTTCTCTGAATGATAATAGGAAGTAGAAAAGAATTTCACTTCGCCACGAACACAATTAGCGTAATTAATGCAAAAATGATAAAACTTTCAGAGGAAAAAGAGAGAAACTTTAATTAACAATTTCCGTTCTAATACACAAAGTTTTTTGGCATAAAAAGGCACACCGATAACAAGCTTTCAACACTGACGCCACGACACTTGGTCATGATGAGGTGTCTCGCATTCCTTCTGCTGCTCTTCTCTCCGATCCATCAGGTAAAGACTATTCTCCACGCTCGAATGATGCTTGTAATTTCTAAACGGACAGCTCAATTTAAATTTAAAACGCGTATTTGTAAGAAAAGTTTATATTTGGACTTTTATAAATAATATATTTTTGAGCTGGTTGAGAATTCTCCTAAATTTTCATTTAAAAATATGACGGGCAAAATCAAAATTTTCCAAAAACTGAAATAAAGTAATTTTATATCCTTGCTCTCCTAATGAGAATAAATAATTTAAATGCTTTTTATGGCCAGATGTATCTTTTTACACCTGTGACAACTTTGCTATTGGATATTTTTGTGATGGTCAAAGGTCAAAGTGAGTTTAAATTTACAAACTTCTGTTAAAAGCAATTTAAATTAACTTAAAAATGCAGCGCCAGCAACTTCGGCATTCACAACCACAAAATCAAATGCAGCGATAACAACCACGCCATTCACGACCACAACTTTAAATGCTGCAACAGCAACTGCGAAACCCACAACCACAACATTAAATGCAGTGTCAAGAACTGCCGCATTTACAACAAAAACTTTAAATGCTTCGCTGACAACCGCAGTATTCACAACAATAAATGCGGTGCCAACAACTGCCAAACCCGCAACTACAAGATTAAATGCAGTGCCAACAACTGTGAAGCCCACAATAACAACATTAAATGCAGCGCCAATAACTGCAAAGCCCACAACCACAACATTAATTGATGCGCAAACAACGTTGGCACTCAGAACCACAACATTAAATGCAGTACCAACTACTACAAAGCCTACTACAAAGCCCACGACCACAACATTAATTAATAAGCAAACAACGTTGGCACTCAGAACCACAACATTAAATGCAATACCAACTACTACAAAGCCCACGACCACAAAATTAAATTCAGTGCCGACAACTGCAATGCCCACAACCACAACATTAAATGACTCGTCAACAAATGTGGCATTCACAACCACAACACTCAGACCTACAACCGTGGTCCTAAACCAACCTCAAAATTGCGAGGATAACATGGTAACAAAATTTATCTTAACAAAAAAAAATATATTAGTTGTGCTTTTCTAATAGGGAATGTGCTGCTCTAAGCAAGAAGCGACTTTAGTATCCTACAAGAGTTTTGAAAAAATATGTCACGTGACGCAAGATTCCCTGAACGCATTCAACGTCTTCTTGCTTACTAAGCAGCAGAAATTTGACCAACGTTCGATCGTGGAACTTGGTCCGAAGAACAAACAGTCCCTCGAAAAGCATGCCGTACATTCATAATGTCATTTTAAAATTTAGGAGTTTAATTTTGTTATTTTATTTTTCAGTGCTTCGTCAATTGTTACTTGATATCAAAGAGAGTGGTAGAAAATTTACTCTTGCATAAATTTTTATGAAATTAAAGTTTTATTATTTGATGAGTCCAGATGTCTCCACACTTTGTGATTGATCAAGTCAAGCTGACATATTTTTTGACAGCCTCGCAATCAGATGCAAAGTGGATTTCGACGATTTCAACAGCAGTATCCGACTGCATTCCATTAGTTGAAAGTAAATGAAATATGGTATCAATGATCCGACTCGTATTAAAAATATTCAATGAATTCTACAGGTTTAATTCATCACGAGTCAAAATCCTCGTGCCCTAGAACAGCATTCGTCGTTGTGCAATGCGTGCTTCTAGAAGTTATAAATGTAAATATGAATACCATGAAAGAATAAATAAAATCTTAACACTTTTACATGTAGCGTTGTACAAGAAAAGGTTAAACATTTCCTTTAATTTTTATACGAAGGAATTTTAATATTGCTTTATAGAAGAAGAAGCTCCACAAACAGCGCCCAAAATAACAACATCAAAGTCATTAGCAACTTCAACCACGGCAACATCAACCACACCACGAAAAACAACAACTTTACCAGCAATAACCACAACATGGAAGTCAACAACCACTTTTCCGACAAAAACCACACCGTGGAATTCAACAACAACTTTACCAACACCACGGATGTCAACAACCGCACCATGGAAGTCAACCACCACTTTGCCAACACCACGGATGTCAACAACCGCACCATGGAAGTCAACCACTACTTTGCCAACACCACGGACGTCAACAACCACACCATGGAAGTCAACCACTACTTTGTCAACACCACGGATGTCAACAACCGCACCATGGAAGTCAACCACTACTTTGCCAACACCACGGATGTCAACAACCGCACCATGGAAGTCAACCACTACTTTGCCAACACCACGGATGTCAAAAACCGCACCATGGAAGTCAACCACTACTTTGCCAACACCACGGATGTCAACAACCACATCATGGAAGTCAACCACTACTTTGCCAACACCACGGATGTCAACTACCACTTTTCCGACAACAACCACATCATGGAAGTCAACCACTACTTTGCCAACACCACGGATGTCAACAACCGCACCATGGAAGTCAACCACTACTTTGCCAACACCACGGATGTCAACAACCGCACCATGGAAGTCAACCACTACTTTGCCAACACCACGGATGTCAAAAACCGCACCATGGAAGTCAACCACTACTTTGCCAACACCACGGATGTCAACAACCGCACCTTGGAAGTCAATCACTACTTTGCCAACACCACGGATGTCAAAAACCGCACCATGGAAGTCAACCACTACTTTGCCAACACCACGGATGTCAACAACCGCACCATGGAAGTCAACCACTACTTTGCCAACACCACGGATGTCAACAACCGCACCATGGAAGTCAACCACTACTTTGCCAACACCACGGATGTCAACAACCGCACCATGGAAGTCAACCACTACTTTGCCAACACCACGGATGTCAACAACCGCACCATGGAAGTCAACCACTACTTTTCCAACACCACGGATGTCAACTACCACTTTTCCGACAACAACCACACCATGGAAGTCAACAACTACTTTGCCAACACCACGGATGTTTACTACCACTTTTCCGACAACAACCACACCATGGAAATCAACCACTACTTTGCCAACACCACGGATGTCTACTACCACTTTTCCGACAACAACAACACCACGGATGTCTACTACCACTTTTCCGATAACAACCACACCATGGAAGTCAACCACTACTTTGCCAACACCACGGATGTCAACTACCACTTTTCCAACAACAACAACACCACGGATGTCTACTACCACTTTTCCGACAACAACCACACCATGGAAGTCAACAACTACTTTGCCAACACCACGGATGTCAACAACCGCACCATGGAAGTCAACCACTACTTTGTCAACACCACGGATGTCAACAACCGCACCATGGAAGTCAACCACTACTTTGCCAACACCACGGATGTCAACTACCACTTTTCCGACAACAACAACACCACGGATGTCTACCACCACTTTTCCGACAACAACCACACCATGGAAATCAACCACTACTTTGCCAACACCACGGATGTCAACTACCACTTTTCCGACAACAACCACACCATGGAAGTCAACACCATGGATGTCAACTACCACTTTGCCATCAGCAAACACACCATGGAAGTTTTCAACTGCAGCCACAACCGTTATGCTAAAAACGATTCCCTCAGCTATCACCTCTGCAACAACAACAATACCAATATCAACCATTACAGCACAAACAACTAAATCAACATCGACAACTACATCAACAACAACCAAATCAACATCACTAACTTCACTAACGACACCAACTAAGGCGCCAATGATAACTACTACACGAATAAAAGCCCCAGCACCCACAATAAAAGTTGACAGCGCATCTACAGCCTATCGGATATCCCCTGCTCCCATGACATTCGTTGAAGCTTTCGCATCTACAATTGTGTTCCCAAATCAGCAACTCAGAAAATGCGCATCTAGGACTTTCTTATTGGTAATAAAACTTTAATTATCTTTTGAAAGTAGCTACTTGTATTGTGTAATTGATTTTTTTCTTAAAGGGAATATCAAAGTGTTGCTCTAAGCGTGCTAGATCTTTAGTGTCTTACACATTTGAGAAAACGTGCAACGTGAAGCAAGGGACTCTGAACGCGTTCAACGTCTTCTCTCTGAAAAAGCAGCAGAATGTCTTTAACACCGCGCCGAACTTGATCCTCTTCCAAAGTTCCAATATCCAGAAGGATTTCGTAAAGAATGCTGTATTTCTTAGCCCCTCACTTCTGAACAATTTCAACTTAACTTTGTTTTTCAGTGCTTCGTCAATTGTTACTTGATTTCAAAAGGAGTGGTATGAAATCCCTAAGTGCCATCGAGGTGGATTCCTAATATAATTGAATATGCATGTAGATGTCACCAGAGTACGTAATCGATCAGGCCAAGCTCACAAATTTTCTGGCAGCATCTCAAACCGATGCTACGTGGAAATCATCGATTTCTTCAGCGGTATCGAGTTGTATATCAACAGTTGAAAGTAAAGAGATACATCTGAAAATGTGATCTTATTAAAACCAGCATATAATTCAGGTTTGAAACTTCCAAACTTCGTGACTTCCAAATCATCCACGTGCCCTGGAAAGGCCTTTCTCACCGTGCAATGTGTTCTCCTCGAATTAATCAACGTAACTAAAAACATTCTAAAATCTCTTCGTAACAGTTAATGACACCATTTCTTATTTTTAGCGATGCCCAAACAAAGGTGTATTAATACTTATAAAAATTTGCAATTAATATAATTTATACATTAACAGTGGTGAGCAGGAAATGCGATAAAAAGTATACCTTGTTCAGCAACTGTTATGGAAATATTTTGTCTCGGAATGCACAAGAAGGCGGCAAAAAACAAAAAAATGTGAAGAACGTTGAAAAGGTGCAGAAAAACCAGGATAAAGTCAATGAGAAAAATCTGCCAAATGACGAGAACAACAAAAAAGGGAAGAAGAATTATAATAAAAAGGGAAAAGGGGAACGGCTCAGTAAGAAAAAAAAGGGGTTGCGTAGGCAAAAAGGAGGTGAACAGATTGGAGGGGGAAAAGTGGAAAAGAAAGAGGAGCCTAAAAATGTGAAGAATGATAAGTTTAAGAAGAAAAGGAAAATTAATAAAGGTGAAATGGTTTTGATACAGGACCCAAATGAGCAATTATAGAATGAGCACCAGCCAATAAGCCCTTGAGCTTGGCTGGACTTGTATCATGAAATACATTAACAATAAATTTCTTTTTCATAAAAAAAAGAAACTTATACCAAATTAATAAATTCTCTAAATTTGTTATTATAATTTAATTTTTTATTTTTAAATTCTTTAAAGTTTTATATAAGCGGAGTATTGAATAATATTCATTTTTTATTACTGTAATTATTATTACAAAAATATTTATTGAAATTATTGTTAACATTAAATTTTATTTATTAAATTTTAAATAATAATCATATTATAACTGTTATAATATTAATAAATAATTTGCATAATATGTATTTATATAAAACCAAAGCTCACTGCGGCGGATGGGGTCTTTTTTAGCAAAATTCTTGCTAGTGGTGGTGCCGTTTTGTCCAACAATTTCTTTTTCTCAAATAATTGTTTTCAACAATTTGTATGTGACAATGTGATGTAACAATTTGGACAAATAAACAACAATTATAATTAAAATATTTTAGATCAATTATATTTTTTCGTTTCCTTTAAAAACTTTAAAATTTTGAAAACATTTAGAGAATTAAAAACAGCAACAATGACAGTTACCTTAATATATAAGGTTCCACTCAACAAATTTTATCACAAATTTTTATACTTTCAAATTAATATTGACGATTTATTTGATACGTTCTATTTATAGAATTGTCTTAAAATAGAACAGAAGTTTTCCTTTGATCCCTGAAAATCGTTGAATTTGGATATAAATAATGGCAAACTGCTCTCGCGAGTTTCCACAAAACAATGGCAATAGGACCGTCCGTTTGTGCCGCGAGTCGATGCGTCGTTTGAGTTTCAACTGCGGCCGGCGTCCTCGGCCAGGGCCGAAATCGAACGGCCCGATGTGAGGTCGCAAAAGCGCGGCACGCCTCAGGCATTCCATACAACCCGTTCGGCTCGCAACTACGCAAACACACAGAATTCGCACACACTGGAGCTGCTGCCGTTGCGGCGACCCACCCACTTTCCAATACACGTGTGTGACAATCGGCACCGCGCGCGCGGCGGTTGTGCAAAAATTTATTCTGCGGGTACATTCTCGGCTCGCTCACTCGGCCCGGCCACCAAATAATTGATTTTATTTTTTTATTTTTCGCGCCAACGCCAGCGGGGGAGCACATTTTTGGTCCATTTAAATTATTTAAGGACAATTTTTAAATACTTTTAATAAATTTTTGCAACATATTTTTACCATATTCAATATATAAGTAAACTAAAATTATAAATTTTCACTTCTCTCATTGCGGAATTTAATGTGTCTCATTTATCATCTAAATTAATTGAAATTTTATTTAAAATTTGATTTATCAATATGCGTAAATTATAATGCAATTTTAATTAATTGATGGAGTCAATCTATTTACTGTTGAATATTTCAAAAGTTATTTAGCATCAATTCTGAACATATTCATTTATATTAAAATTAATTTATATTTTTTGTAGTTCTCATTTCAAGTAACTTAAAGTAAATAATTTATTTAAATAAATAATTAAAATACGAAGTAAAGTAACGATTAAAATAAAATAAAAAAAATGATTATCAATGGCTATACAAAATTATTTAAAGTATTATCTTTAATACTAAAGTAAATATTAATGCAAAATTAATTAAAAGCTATCTAAAATTGATGGCGACTTGAATGGCCGAGCGGCAGTCGAAATTGCTTCTTCTCGCTTGCCGATAAATTACGTAGGAATGCCGCTAAATGGAGCAGCACAACTGCTGCTGCTGCCACAACTGCTTGTATTGAAAATTGCGCTAATTATGGTTACGGACGGGGCGAATAAAGAGGCGCGCGTCAGCAGCGCGAGTCGCCGCTTTTCGAGATCGATCAAGTGCGAGGAGCGAACGAGTTTCTTTTCTTGTTTGCGGTCCGCGTGCTGACAAAACAAAAAGCAAACCCTTTCTGGCAAATCACCCGTGCCAAATTGCTGGACCTGCGCCGGCCATTGGGGTGGCGATTTAATAAAATATGCAACGCGTGCTGCTTTTCCCTGGAGCAAACATAAAACAAACGAAATTGCTAAATTTATTTTATATAATTTTGCAGCAATCAATTTTTTAAATTCATTAATGTTAAAATTTGAGATATATAAAACAAGCTTTGCATTTAGTAATTTGAAGTGACGAAATCTCCAATACTGGTTTTTTTTCAGTACGTTTAAAACGGATGTACAAAATGGGCAACCAGATTTGCATCAGTATTATTTGCAAGTTTTGATGTACTCACGAAATCCATTCTTATCCATTTCTCATTCTTACAAAAAGTTGCAACCGAAATTCGCGAGAGCCATTGTCGCGCGGAAGAGAAAAGAGCTGCTCGGAAAACCAATCTAAACCAGAAATCCAATCCGTCAAAAAAGATGCACCCCTTTGTTGTCATCTCGCGACAATGGACATCATGTATTAATTTTAAAACTGCCCTGTCGAGAAACTGCACTGCATGAATGCCGATATTGTTTCCTCGAGCGCGTCCCTCCGGCGTCCGAAATTAGATTTGCTCCGATACATTGTGTTAAGAAAGACAACCCTCTCGGGCAAGGGTTGCTTCCCTTCTTTTCTTCGGCGTGCACACCCCAGTCTAGGATTTCGACAATTCCCAGGCGAAACAATGGCTACTTTTATCATCCGCCGATCTGTCTGATGAAAAATCCGCCGGTGGACGTTAACAATGCAAAAAGAACAGAAACTGGTCGGCAACCCCCGAAGGAAACAACGCGAATTTGCTTTCGAATGGATCTGGAAATAATATAACAGCAACGAAAAATATGGTCCGGTTTTCGCGCGTTTTGTTCTCGCCAGCCTTATCTCGGGGGGATCATCGTGCAGAGCTGCTGCTGCTGCTCCTCTCGAAAATGGAGAGATGAGATGCGTCTCCGGTACCAAAAATAGAAACTCGGTACGCACAACAAAAAACATCCGCCAACGCGAGTTTGAATTATCGAAACGCGCAGCGGCTCGAGACGAGGAAGCGACGCTTATTAGTCGCGTCCCGACCAAAGGGGGTGCCGCGTGCGCCTGATCAAAATTAGCGCCTCGCATGTTACTTGTCTTGGCATTCGAACCACCCTGGTGCACATGTGGTGCTCATTCGCTCACTCAGCGCGACTGGAATGGTCTCGTAAATCACGCCGATTTTAAAACCAAGCTGCTCATTTGGTTTAATTAAAAAAGAGAAAGAGAAATATTTTGAAAAGCCGTCGAAAATATTGAAAATTTAAATAAAAGTTCTCACGAAAGGAATAATTGATTATAAAATGAAATTTCAATTTGTCAGAAAAAAAACAAGCTTGCGTCATTGGCACAAAAAAGAATCTGAGATTTGAGAAACGCTTTCTTAAAACATTTTGAGTGGGGAAATTGTAAAAAATAACACTGTTTGTTTAATCCAGAAAAACCAATTTACAAACAATAGTTTTGAAAAGTCGCAATTAAAAAGGAAAATAAAAATAAATTAATTTTCACATAAAAGGAAACTTTCTTCCAAAATGTGCAGTAAAAGAGTTTGTTTGAAGAAGTTGACACTGGAAATGAAGAGATCAGGCTCTACCTCGTTGCAGAAAAATTGTTTTTTTTTTTATTCAAAAACAAATGGCTTTACCAGTTTCTGTCACGGTCTGCGATATAAAATATGGTGTTTTTCAATTTTGCTGATTTATTGTATATTTCTTGCTCATGAAATAGGGTTGCAGACCGCGACCGAAACTGGTAGAGCCATTTGTTTTTTAATAAAAAACATTTTTTTTGAAAAAAGGAAAAGCCCGATCTCTTCATTTCAATATAAGAATTTTCTATTTTTTTTCTTCAAAAACAAGCATTTTTGAATTCTAAGTAAAGAACTGGGTCATTTCGAACTGCAAAGTTAAAAATTGAATAATTCATGTTCATGAAAAAGAAAATGATTTTAATAATTGGATGTAAAGAATGCGGATTAGTAAACAAAAACAAAAATTAAAGTTCACGAAAATTGAAAAATTAAAAAAAAAAATTACTGATTTCGAGACCTTGTTTTAATTTTCACATCGCGAGACCCAGGGTTTGATAACACTTGACATTCTTGACCTTCCAATTAAGGTTCTTCGCTGGGCGCGCAGACTGAGCAAAGTTTGGAAAGGAAGAAGTTTGTTTTCCGTGCGGCAAAGAAGTCGCACGGGACGCTCTCGTGGCGCCAATGGGTGTGTTGGGAACCAAACACTGATAATCACAGGGCAAACAATACGCGGCAGTGTTTGGGGATGATAGCGCGAGAAAGGAAAGAAAAAATGCCAAGCAAAGAAAGAGCACCAGAGAGATACAGTTAGCTGACGAAGCCGGGCCGCGAGCAGCAAAAGCAAAATATTTGAGCGCAATAAATCACGGTTTCTGCTCGGCGGTTTCCACGCTGCGTGCACAGTTGCAGTCTGTTGATTTGAATAATGCAACGGGACGCAAACACCCCTGGGAATTAACGTCACCCCACGGGGAGAATATTTTTTGCGCGTTTTCAACTGCAAACGAGTCTGGGTGAGAAAGTGTGAGACCCAAAAATGTTTAAATTTTTCACCTGGGAATTTTAAATAAAATGCAATTTGAAAGAAAGAAGAAAATTTTTTTACATGTTGAAATGAATGTGGAAGAAAAGATTTTGAATAAAAAAAAGTAACTGAAAAAGTTAATTATTCTTGATTCTTTGCAAAAGTATTTCTGAAGAGAACTAGGACAAAGCATTATTATTATCTTTGGTTGAAACTTTTAGTTTTAATTTATTGATTATAATTCTCATTTCACACTTATATGGTTCCAGATTCCAGAGGATTCAAATTTATAAAAATATATATCTTCAAATTTAAGTAGAGGCACATACGACCTATAACTTCAACTGTACATTCCTTTCAGCTTTTTGTATTGAAATGTTAGAATGCGATGATCTGAAATTAATATTTAATAATAATTTATTTTTATTAAATAATTAAATTCAGTTCAAAAACAATAATTTAGCCGGTATTTAAAAACAAAATATTAAAATTAATTGTAAAAATAAAATCAAACATTAAAATTACACAATAATATTTTTTGCTAAATATCAATTCATTAACAAAAATAGTTATTATTAAAATATATGACAACTGAAAGTTATTAAATTTATCTTTTTTTTTTCAAGAACATTATTTACAACCGCGCAGTGGCATGAAAGCAAGCTGTGGCAAATAATTTTATAATGTATTCTGAGAGGAGGATGGAGCGGAGAGAGATGATTATTTGATCGAGAGCGCTCACAATCTCTCATTATCTCGGCACGCAACTCGGAAACAGACGCGATGATGTAAAACAACACGTGCGTTTGGCCGCGCTTTATAAAACACTAAACTATACATGTATGTGTGTCCATGTGAGTGGCGGAGCCGAGAGAGCGCAGAGGGAAACGATACTTGGAATTGAACTCGCTGCCGCGAGATATGTTCG